AAAGCTTAAGTAAAGTAGTCAGAGATGCAACAATACCAATATGGTATTGGGGTACTAGCATTGGTAGTAGTGAAGGGTGTACAGCTCATCCTTTTCTTTACTCCAATATAAACGTACCAAGGTGTTATTAAGGTCATGTGAAAGACGACCCTTGATAACCTAATTATGGGTTCGCACAACAACCGTGGTTTGTCCTTACAATAAGAAAATAAAAGGCTACTCAAATTTCATTGGTTGATGCCATTTTTATGGACCAATCAGATTCGTAGAAAATGTTTTTTCGTTATTGTAAGGGAAAACTATATTGCGGTTTGGACCATATGAAAGCGGAATCTCAATAACCCTATGATCGATCCGAACAACAATATGCTTTTGTTAGCGTCAGTGATGGTACACAATGACGCTAAACTAAGATTAAGATAGTTCTTCTATTCTAACTGGCTTAGGACGTCTACCCGGATAGCAGGTGTGGGTTCGAGTCCCACGAAGGTCATCTTTTTGTATGTTCTGTCACATAACATCACTCACACTGCTTGTTCTTTCCTTCTATACATAATGAAGATAACAAACACAACATTGGACAGGAAAGTAGAATTTCAATGAAAAATGTAGGAAAAAAGAAAAAGGTATCGATGAACCAGAGTGAAGAAGAAAATTATAGGGGAGGGAGGTTACCGTTACGTTACCAAGTAACTGGTAACGGAAAAGTTACCGCCGTTACCCGCTTACGAGATAACTTTTCCGTTATCAGTTACCCGGCAGCGGTAACGATCTGGTAACTATCTCCCGTCCCCAGCCCCGGATCATAGGGTCCTCAAGCCCTACTATACGGAGGTATCGTAGGGTTCTCAAGTCCTATTATAGGGGGTACCCCTGGGTCCTCAAGTCCTACGATAGGGGGTACCCATGGGTATGGGTGTGGGTGTGGGTGTGGGTACGGATGGGCGAGTGTGGGTGTCGTACCTCTATCGACACCCATATCCAGACCCGCAATCACATTCTAGTTCGATGTATGAATTTTCAATTGGTATTTAAATGTATATAGTTGAATACTAACAATCATACAGAATATTACCTATGCTTGTAGTCGTCTGGCTTGAAAGAAGCCGCTCGATGCATATTGTAACAAGATCATCTTTAGCAAGGTTCATAAGAACTGAATCTAGCATATCGCAGGCATATTCTTGATAATTACCCGACTCTTTACAAATAATACCATCTATGTAATTAAATATTTTATTAGTCATTGATTGAAAAGGTTTTCGTGATATTATGAAAGTAGATTCATCGATAGCACAAATGCGAATAACTGTGTTGAACAGTGTGGTTAGAAATATCGCGTGTCTCGGAAGTTTCATATTGCCTATTACACCCTCCAGATTACCATTCACATTATTCAAGATTCCATCTATCTTAGAGGCATCGAGTGTATCTTTTGTTAAATGACGAGAATTATTAGATTCAGTTAACAGCTTTAAAATATTGTCGATTTCTTGAAGAAGCTTGAAATAGTTAAGCGTTTTTTTTGACGATTCTATTGGATCAGTGTTTTCTGATAGCGTCGAATGCTCCTCTGCTGATGCCATCGAATCCCTTTCTATGGGTATTCTTGAGTTCCTTTCTTCAATCTAAAATAGTAACAAGTCATTAATACAATCATTTAAAATGTATTAAGTAAGAGATTTGCGCGAAATTCTTCCACTTTTCATTTCATCGTTTCCTGTCATTTGATATTTGTTTCTCGTCTTTCTCCTCGATTACACGTATGAAATGTGCATCACACGCTAGTGACTCGCTCCGAAATTGAGATCTATAAAAATATTTCTCATTATAAACATTGGAAGAAAGAAAAACGAAAAAAACAGTGAGAGAGCAGTACAAATGTTTGCTCAAATATTATTAAGAAAAAGTAACGTCGGGAGAAATACTTCTTCGTTTAAAAAAATTCTTATTTAGGTAGGCAATGGCAAATCAAATAAACACCGAAATGCTCCCAGATTGAATTGAAGTCTTTCGTTATTTACATAGCAGCTAATGAAAGAACAGCAAGAAATATGAGAAACCCTTGTTTTTTCGATTGCCATTCGTATCCATCTTGCGCATGTTTACTCGGTGAGAAAAGCGGTAGTACCGCATAAATTTGTTTGATTTCAAAGAATAAGCTTCATTTATTTCTTTTTCTCCTGCAGAGCTGTTACGAAGTAGTAATCTCACAGTGACATTTTCTAGAAGAAACTCAGTTGATGTTGAAACATGAACGAATTAACTACGTGTAGTCCAATCTTTAATAATGTATGTGCTCTACAGTTCTATTTCCATTCTCATTTTGTCTTCTGATTTGATATATCCACGATAAGTCGGTTCCTTGGAGTGGTGTCATAAATTGGTTGAGCTTTCAGAAACGAACATGTACGACGTTCGTCGCAAAAGAGTAAGAGCATCTGATTTTTTTGGAAGTCTTAACAATGAAATTTTACTTGATCACTTAGAACAAACAAAAAAAGTTGTGTGTGCAACTATGATCACTCTGAAAAGGACACGTCTCCACTCATCAAGACTTGGAATTTGGACTTGCACACAAAGCAAGAAGCAAACAACTGCTACGGAATACTGCCTCAATCAAAAAGTCCTGTGCGTTATATTGTTATGTTATCACAGAAAATGAATCCGCTTCATTTTTTTTATCCTAGTATTTACGATGTGACATCAAGACAGAGCTCGAGCAACTCTGTTTGGTGCTGTTAGGCGTATGGGATATACCCGTGCCTGGTCTTATCATGCGAATGATGAGCGATACAGATTCGACACCGAACATTACGATAGAGAAAGAACTCTTGCAAGGCATTTCCGATGCTGCTGTTTCGATGGGTAAGTATGAGCACGAACATCAACTCAGAAAGTAACACGGTCAAATTCTAGATGCATGGATTATCACAAGTGGTTATAAGGAGGAGAGCATTTCAGAGCTAGTTGGTGAAGTAGTTTACAAGAGCCGAATAAAAAGTCCCGAGATAAATTTCAGTGCGATTGCTGTTGGTAAATGGGGCAACATTCAAGATTGTCACAAACTTGAGGACAGGTTTGATTAACCGATATTTTATGTAGCATTTTCCAATATAGCCGATTGCTGGGCACTTAAATTTTTGTCTCTGACTTTCTTCTATTGCATCTTTGCTGCAATATTGCTTTCTTAGGACCCATAACAACAAGCCCACGATTCGTAAAAGGTATGGACGATATAATCTAGAAACAAACCATACACACTACATTTTTTTCGACGATGGTACATGCGATTCGTTGGATACTGGTGAATTCGCTTCAAAACTTGCTCGAGAAATATCGTGTGGAGCAAGACGCAGAAGTCAGCATTTTACTGAGCATATAATATATAAATTTTTCTAGTACACATCTGTTTTTTTAATTTAGTACCCCTAATTACGGTTCTAGTCGGCGGTACGCTTCATGCACTTCGATCGATATTCACTGATTTACAGAAACGAATTCCAGTCGTTGTCGTTGATGTAAGTCGTGCATAATTAAAAAAAAACAACAAATACTAAATCTTCTTTGAACTACATAGGGAAGTGGACAGTTGGCTGACATATTATGCAAATATCTTAAGTTAACCGAAAGTGAGTGAAGTTGGGCGTGGGTTGTGGGTGTGAGTGTGGGTGTGAGTGGGTGTGGGTGTTGGTGTGGGTGGGTGGGTGGGGTGTGGGTGTGGGTGTGGGTGGATGGGGTGTGGATGTGAGTGTGAGTGTGGGTGGGGTGTGGGTCTGAAACTAAAAAAATTCACACTCACACCCGAGCACACCCATCTACACACACACCCATATCGTGTTAGTTGAAATTTTCGATATTTTTATACTTCAATATTTTTCCTTTCGGCTTTTCTATAACAAATCAAAATAAGAACATATATTTCTGCCCCAACCACTGATTTACTAAAAATGCTTTTTAAAAATAACCTTAAAAACATATCTCTTGGTATGTTCAAGGTTGTTTCCACAATCTACTGAGGGTGTAGGTGTGGGTATAGATAAGATCAATAGCGACACCGTTATCTACACCCAATATGGCCTTCAAACCTACATCTACACCCACACCCACACTTTCACGTTCCCACTCATACACCCACACCCACGCATCCACCCGCACATCCACACCCACTTCCTACAGAAATACATATAAGGATAAATCGAGCCAGCAACGCGGATACTTTTAATTTTCGTAGTTGTTGCCGAAGTGTCAGACTGTGCACAAACCATTTGTGTTAGAGAAAAATAAGGGAAGTTTTGCCACCGTATCCAGTTGATATATTGATTTTACTTGTATTCGTCAGAGAATTATGGCGGACTCTGACTTTGAAAAGTTTCCTTTGTTGAAATCAGGTACTTTTATTCGCTCTGGACCGCTGAAAAATCAACACTATGTCTCTAGTCAATAACAAAAGTGTGAGCATAGCTGCGGTGAGATTTTTCTTGGAAAATATTACTTATTCACACTCTAATGCGCATCATTATCATCACCCTGACCTTGTGAATTAGTAAAATGGCGCAGAAATATGAGGGATTCGTACGTTATAAACTAAGAACTTATTTCTAAAGAGCTGCGAAATCATTTTTGACATGGTTCATCAAGTTTTTATTGCTCGGTAGGCCATACAAAGAAACACACTGTCCTGTTATACGTGGTTGTTGGATACATATTTACATATACACACTAGTTACATGCTTCATCTCCGAGATCGCAAAACAAGCCTTAAACATCTTGATAGGTGAAGCTTGTAAAATACATATCAAATACTGTATCTGTGAATTAAACATTTGTAAAGGTCCCGATCACCATGAGAAAACAGCAAATCATACGGAATTCGAGAGTACAGAATCAAAGATACATATGGATAGAGAAGTCTTGAAAGCCATAATTCTAGATCGAAAGTCGAAACTATCGACAAGAGGACTTCAAATGTTTTCATTGAAGGTTATTATAAATTATCAATGGCTGCAGAAAACGAGACCGATGATGAAGACGAAGGCTCTAGTGACGATGAAGATGAAGGCTCTAGTGACGATGAAGATGAAGGCTCTAGTGCCGATGAAGACGATGACTCCAGTAATGATGCAGATGAATTGAATATACCAATGATTGACGAGAAGTTTTCGCCAGATGGTGCGACAAATTCATCTGCATTGGCTCAAACTACGTAAGTTTGTAGAGTAAAAACTAGTTATGGTAACTATGCTATTGGTATACATAGCTTAAGAAAAGCTTTGCGACCGCTCCAGAAAAAGTGTCTGGATTTTGCTAATGATGTGCGGAAGCTTTATAACATCATCCGGCTGCAAGAGTATGAAACTCAAGGCAGGAGGTTACCTGTGGGCGATTTATTGACCTTGGATGAAGAAAAATCTCTTGGACAATACTTATTCAAATTAGCGACCTGTCTGAAAGGCGATTTCAGAAAAAATATTCACGTGTTCAACGTCAATGCATCGAAGTCTTTGAAGGAAACAATTTACTCTGCCTTCGTTCAAGGTAATTCCAAATTGATAATCGTATTTTTATGAAGTTCCATGTAAAACTATGTGTTACGCATGTAAAAGTGAGCTTTTGTAGTCTACTTTGTATTGTGCATTGAATTTATGAGATCGAAGAAGACCTAAGACAAGTATTCACTACATTGACAGAACTGTACGAAAAACCGAGTCTCTCAATAGTTCTCTCGACTGAAGGGACGGTCATACGAAATAAAATGTGTTTGCTTGCTTGCTTGCTTGTATGTTTGCAAGTACGTGTTGAGTCACATGTCCTAATTTCAATGAGATGCAGATTCCTTATAAAGGTTTATGAAAGGATGTTCGGCTGGAGAATCCGAATCTGTGGTTGGTTTCAAATTGGAGCTTGCATTGGTCGATCAGGAACCAATAGAAATTGAGTTTTTTTGGAAAAATTTGCTTCCCATCGGTAATTAGATGCGGGGAGCTGGAATCTTAGCTCCATTTTCGTCGAAAACCTATTGGTCGAATAGGAACCAATAGTAATCGAGTTTTTGTTGGTTACTCTAGGATAAGAGTTCAAATCTGAACTCTATTTACGTCAAAACTCCATTTGGTGGGTTAAGGGCTAATATAAACCAAGTTTTGGAAAGAATGATACACGAAAGGTGTTCAGAAAAGCGAAGTTTCAATTGAATTTCCTGTATGTATTCCTCGAAAGACTATTTTCAAACTTCGATTCTCTATACATAATGAGGCAGCTACAACCTAACAGATTCTTCGTCAAATATTTTTTGAGCAAGAAGATATATTTTCAGTTTTTCTTCTACCAATTGGAGGTTTTTCGCAGATTTTTGTGGACAATAACATTTGTTCTTGGCTTTTCTTCAGCTAATGAAATTCTTTATTTCGTTATCGCTATTCTGAAAGAGAGGTTCATTCGCATTAACTTGGTTATATGTTTGATTTTTATCCAATTACTCAGAAAACAATATTCGCTCAAGAAATGAAAACTGTTCGTTTGGAGAAATACATCATTGTCACAACTGTAAAGTGATCAAAATCTACATTTTTTAGAATGAGCCGTGATCATAGGTGGTGGAAGATGAAAAATCAACACAACAAGTTTTATTGTATCTAGAGTTGTTGTGTCTGCAGACAGCTTTTTAAAGAAAAGCAGGCACATTCAGTTTAAAGTTTAAATACTATTTCTAGGGCAGAATTCAACTCGAGGAGCTTCATACAGTGCTCAAGTGAGTGATTTACAAAAGAATGGCCCGACGATACACAGAGGCGACGAGTTGGGAGTGACGTCCCTTTGAGGCGACACACCCGAGGGTGGGGTGTCGGTACAAGGATTTCAACATTACCTTCACCCACACCCCACATCCGCACCCTACTATCATGCACAACGACATTGATGTGAATATTAGTATTTACAGTCGCACCTAGCCTTTTTTAAACGTTGGATACCAGTTTTCTTGAGGACTGTAGATCATTCTTCCCTAGGCTGTAGGGAGGGTCATATGAGAGAAATTGCGGTTATTGGTATGTGTGTATGTTTGAAACCACGCGTATAGTCACGTGTCCACGTATTTATAATGGTCTTTTACAAAGGTTGACGAAAGTGAATCGGAGTCGGAGAATCCGAATCTGCAATCAGATCTTCAAAATTGTGAACTGAGTTTTTTTGGTGAGGGAAAGAGTTTTTTGAGAAAATGACGACGTTTCTCTCCATTGAAGGGAGGGTCTTACAAAATTAAAGAACTGTACGTATGTGTTGGTATTTATGCTCGGAATTTCGAGTCACATATTGGCATTTACTCATAGAACATCAGGCTAATCGTACGCCGCGATGGCTTTTAGGGTGTGTACTCTCGTTGAAACTAGGCTTTTCATGGTGAAAATGAAGTGAATAGGATATTTTAAATATCGAGCTTTGTAGTAATAAGGATTTTTTTGTGGTAAGATTTTAAAGAATGACGTGCGATTATTATGACAGTGTTCTGCGATCAGCCTTTACCACGTTGGAGATTATGTGAAACGATTTTTTGGCTTAGAATTACTTGAGGAATACTAGTTGTTTTTCGAAAGTTTGAGGGATTCATACGTATTTCGTGTATGCATGGTCAAAAGCGATTGTCGGAGGCTGAAGATTCAGTGGCATGTTTTCTTTTGTTTAACCTTGACCCAACCATAATCTGGTTGTAGCAAGTGGGTCAGAAACATTTGTGAATTTTTCTTTGCGGTTCTTGATAGTTCTTTTCTGTTAAAAATTCAACTATGAGTTGCTTGTGCATACCTAAGTTTATTTAACAAAAGTGCAACGTGCTCTATCAATGGATAGTTACTGACAGGTCATAACATTTTCCGATATCAATCAGAAATCTTCTCATAATAAAATAATACTTTGATCGAAATTTTCAAAAGCAGACTTCGTTTTATTCAGAATAAAAAATTAGTCATTTAGGAGCGTGGGCTCGGGGATGGCAGCGGCTAGCCATGAGTGACGTCCCGAAGGGGCGTCGACGAACCACTACCTGCTGTCAAAGCAGGTTAACACGAGACATATCTTAGGATATGCCTTCATAACATCTACAACACTGCTTGGCAATGCGTCACTTAGATTCAATCAATGACTACTAATGTAAAGTGAGATTTCTACAAAGATCAAGAAATTCGAGAGACAATGAGTATGTGACAAGAAGATGTTTTTTTTTAAATAGAAAATCTAGCACTCCTAAGTTATGAATGGGAAGCTTTTGAAACACGTGAAGCCTAGATCAATTAGGTCCTGCATAAAAGATTAGCCATTTAGAAGCGTGGAGTCGAGGATGGCAGCGGCTAGTCGCAAGTGGCGCCGACGAGCGACTAGTTGCTGCTCTGTAAAATCCGCTGAATGAACGCTTCAAGGCGTTATGATTCATACGAAAAGTGTCTAAGGTCTAAATTCGGGTGATTTCATAAGTGATCAGAAGTGTAAAAAAGACAAATTTTTTCCAAGTGTTAAAGCATTTTTTCTGCACGTGTGCTATATCTGAATGCTGCAATTGACAGAAAACGTCACTCAAAGAATTCAGATTCGCTTAATTGGAAGCAGATTTGAATTATGCCAAGTGAAATTTTCAGTTGATATTCGTCCTTGTCTCTGTGCAGTCATACGTCGACATGCTTTGGAATATATTCAAATTAACAGTCTAATCCCATGAGTACTTTGAGCGGTAGTGTCACCAAACTGAGGTATTCCAAGTATAGGTATTATCGAGAATGATTTATTTCACGGTAGAATTTCACCAAAAGTTCTTTTTTGCTAGCGGAGGTTCTTGAATATGGCAAGGAAGGTTGATATTCTAGAAACCATATAGATTTTTTATTCTAATTTGGAACGCTCATGGTGAGTTATGGTGCTAGTTTAGCAGATTTGCTTCCTTGGCAATCCTCTCCTATAATTGAATATGATCTGTTTGTTGGGTATAGTTGGAGAATTGGAGAATAATTAAAAGAGCGATAGTGAGGAGGTCGGGTTGCTTTATCGACATTGTCGAAGATTGTGTTTATGAATATTGTTGCGTTAGTATAGCTATTTTTAATAGTTGAGTTGCGTATTAGTGTGTGGGTATCGATGCGATTGTATGAATTAACGAGACAAAGAATCACAAGAACATGCATATCATCGTGCGCAAATATACTGATGCGCATATGAACATTCACGCGCACACGCAACCTTTTTTTAACATTGGATACTAGTGTTGTGAAAGATTGTGAACTAGTTTACTATGCCCAAAAGTAGCTGAATATTTAGTCGAGAGTCAAGCGAGTCATGTCGACGAGCTTTACTTATTGTTTCATCCTACATGATAGGAAATTATAAAAGAAAAGATTTTCAATACAGGATTTTCTCTTCTACAATAAAATAAAAGGTGTTTCTCAGCTGCGGTTTATGTAAGCTTCTTAACAAAGAACTTCATGATACGCGTTTCGTTGTTAGCAAAAAACAACCTTCCACGGACAAAGAAAAATTATCACACAACCATTGATGATCAAGTGCATCTAGCACTACGATGGAGCATTGCCGATATTACTGAAAACCAGTCGGTGAATATTGCAAGAATCTGGAATGATACTAATAAAGTAGGCTTTTTATTTTGTTTTATGAACCTCTCAGTATACTTGTTTCCTTTTAGAATGCACAAAACCGATCGCTTCTGATTGATGCACTTAGCAAAAATTTGCTTGTGTTCGTCAGTAATTTCGTGAAACTAGATATCGATATTACTGTTTTGTTTGGTTCTAATCGTGAATCATCGAAAGAAGCTAACAGTGGTTGGTCTCACAAATGTTATTATTTGAAAGAATTATACTCAGAGACAAGGCGCAAAAATGTAAGATGAATATGTTTTGTTTACCGAATATCGACATTGCAGAACACTTGTCTTTGTTATATAGCGGGATCCATTATACTTACTGGATCAGATCAGTGGGAATCTTAATTTCGAAAAGGAAAAAGATTTAGCTATCATTCTCAAAAAGTTGGTAGGTGATTTCATGTATCCGTTTTACGAGGATCAATCAAAACATAAATCGATGTCGTCAACACCTGAAGATAATGCTAATTTAGAGGAGATGGATGCCGAATATATTTATCGTGATCTCTTTCTTTGGTGTGTGCTAACCTACCGACTTGATATGGCCAAAATCTTTCTTAGTCAAAT